ACCAATACGGAGATCCCTCTAACTTCCTTTGGCCAGCAGAGAGAAGTAACTTGTGTAGGGCTGTGCGATATGACCAAAATCTCATATATATAGATGTCTTAATATCCCGATATTAAGACATCTATCGTCCGATAACGATATAAATCACAAAAATGTAACATTTTCTGTAAATTCTGTGAATCTCGGGCAGCTCGACTTGCGTGAAGTGTTTCCAGCTGCGCGTCGTGTACCTGGAGTCCAGTGTTTTAGCCGATGCATGAAACGATACATTTTTAGACATAAGTTGTAACGGCCGCAGTTTTCTTTGTGAGTATTTATTACACGGCGTGCTGCGGGGAGAAGCCTGTTCTGACGTTTGAGTCTAAGGTTATTTTTTAGCACCTGGCGGCTCTTTTTTACTTCTCATCCATAAACAATCTGCTCTTTCACGTGATTCAGTTTATTTGAAAAGTCTCAACAGGATCTTGAGCTTTATTGTGAAAGTTTATGTGGAACAAGCGGACACGCGGTGGTTTTACCGTTGTTGTTGCTAACGACAACGCATAAAAACAGCGCTTGTCCGTCTCTGATGTGTTTAATGACCAGAGACTGTCATTAAACACATCAGAGCTGCTTTTCCACCATCCCTGGACTCGCACCAGTTTGCATACAGGGAGAACCGGTCAACCGAGGATGCGATCGCCACAGTGCTGCACACATTACTGAGCACTTGGAACAAGGAACACCTATGCACGGCTCCTCTTGTAGACTACAGCTCGGCTTTTAATACCATCCGGCCATACAAACTCCGTCCCAAACTCCACCAACTGGGACTTAACTCCTCTCTGTGCAACTGGATTGTGGACTTCCTCACTAACCGTAGACAGAGTGTCAGAGTGGGTAAGAACACCTCTTCCACCCTTGGTGGTCAACACCGGTGCCCCTCAGGGGTGTGTTCTGAGCCCTCTGCTATACACTTCTTCACCATGACTGTATTTCCTCCTGCGCGTCCAATCTCATTGTTAAGTTTGCAGATGACACTACAGTGCTCGGACTTATATCCAACAATGATGAGACAAACTATAGGACAGAGGTGCAACAACTAGAGTCATGGTGCCACGACAATAACTTGGTCTTAAACACCAAAAAGACCAAGGAGATCATTGTAGATTTCCGGAAGAGGGGCCATAACAACCATCTGCCTCTCTTCATTGGCAGTGAGGCGGTGGAGAGGGTGAGCAGTTTTAAATTCTTGGGGGTAACTGTGACCGAGGACCTGTCCTGGGGCAACCATATCACCTCAGTTGTACGGAAGGCCAACAGCGCCTCTACTACCTGAGGAGACTGCGGAGCGCACACATTCCCAGATCTCTGATGTTGAACTTCTACAACTGTGCCATCAGCAGCGTTCTGACGTATGGATTTCTAGTGTGGTTCCCCAGCTGCACCAAGGCCGATCAGCAAGCACTCCAGCGGGTGGTGAAAGAAGCTGGCAGAATTATTGGAACAAGTCTGCCAGAGATCAGTAATATCTTCCCCACTCGCTGTCTGAGGAGGGTGCACAGTATCCTGCGGGACCAACATCACCCTGCGCGCCACCTTTTCCATCTGCTGCCCTCAGGGAGAAGGTACAGGTCTATACAGGCCAGAACATCCAGACTGGCCAACAGCCTGTATCCACAGGCTGTGAGGCTCCTGAACTCTCTGCCCCCCTCTCACGGACAATAACCATATCCAACTTCTTAATAGCAATGAACTGGTCTGCATTGGTGCATCATATCTTTATTCTCTTCCCCTCCTGCCCCCTCCCCTCTTTCTTAAATAGATAACTATCATATCTGATATCATATCTCACAGTACAATAATATTGAATGGGTTGCATTGTTGTATTTGTCATGTTTCTCAGGTCTTTGTCTGAATTTCTACGAACATTATGCTAAGGATTGTCTTATTGCATTGGAGTCACACTGGGTTAAATATGTACACTTGGGTTTTAAGGGGTATTTATTATTTTCTTCTTTTTTTTGGGTTGTATGGAAGCCCCAAACGCAATTTCATTGTTCTTGACAATGACAATAAATAAATAAATACTAAATACTTATATTAAATATAAGAGAAAGAAGAAATGAATATAGCCGCTACAGTGACCATAATAATGATAATGAAAAAATATCGCTGTAAACAGTTTATTTTGCGACACCACGAAACAATCGACAGCGTAAAATGAAACGACAGACGTTTTTATATCGTCATCCGATATATATCGTTATATCGAGCAGCCCTAACTTGTAGTTGTTTAGACATGTGGGAAAACTGCCTTGGCTCCGGACTCTGAGTATTTGATCTGCTGCTGAATTTGAATCTGCTTTTTTAACTCATGCTCAAGTCCAAAAGGTTTATTTAACCAATTTAACGTCCGTGTAAAATCACTAGTATTGGTCAGTTTACAGGTTGAATGAGGCCATGTCAAAGATAATGTGAAAATTGTGGTCTGGGCTTGTTATGTCTGGTTTTAAATAGCTAAGATAACACGTGAATATGCTTAGCTTGAGGCTTCACAACAGAGCTTGAGTAAAGAGTCATTGATAACTTGCTGTTTTGTTTTCAAAGTCAAAGCAATGCAGTGTACAGTATGACCAGGTTTTCTGAGGTGTGTCCTGTGTTTCACTGTGTGCAGACCAAGGAAAAGGTTCAGCTCTCCAAGACCTCACCACTGAAGGGAAAAACGCTCTGCCAAAGAGGCATTCTGTTGTTTTTGTTATGACTGGTTCTGTGTTTGATTTAATAAAGCACTTGTGTAAAACAAGTGACGTTACATATAAAACTATAAGAAGTTCAGCATTTTATGTGTTGTACTTGCTATATTATATACACTCAAAAATACAGGAACACTGAAGTTGCACACCAGACAATCTTGAAAATGAAAGTTGGAAATGGGATGGAAACTAAAGTCATCAACGTTTTGATGGGTCCATTCTAATTCTAAGCAAACACTGACTTGTTCCCGTATTTTCTGAGCAGTATACAAACATTATTCTTTGTTTTCTTTGGAAACAGAAGTGCCTGTATGAAAACCCAACATGCAGCTGTTTACTGTATTTTCTCTGAATACTGTTCATACTTGAACTTTGTAAATAGTTTGTTGAATTTTTTTATCTATTCATTTATAAGCTTTTTTTCTTACTCAGAAAATTCTATGCACCACTTAAAATAGCTGCATATTAAAAAAAAAAAAGCCTTATTACAAGAAGTGCTAATAGATTCACAATTGTTTGAATGTCTGTTTCACGGGATTTTAAATGCAGTATTATGCTCACTCTGTTTAAGTGATGTTCCCCAGTGCCTGTGTGAGTCCTAAACCCATCAGAAGGTTTCAAACCGCTGACAGGTGAAATGAATAAAAGTTGGTACAATGTTCTGCTAGAAAACATGGGCGCTGTTATTTGCGTGATTGTTATTTCATCATGTATTGCTCACCTGTGGTTGGGGAAATAAGTACTTGATCTGTTGCTGAATTTGTTAGTTTGCTCACGTACAAAGAACTGAAAAGTCTCTTATTTTTATTGTAGTTTTATTTTAATAGTGAGAGGGGATATCTGAAAAATATAGCAGATTCTTTGCATAATCGCAGAGAATACAGATGTAAAATCCATAGACATGGACATAGCGATAGACAGGAAAACAGCCCCAAAGCATGTTTCCATGTCTGCGCTTTGCTGTAATGTAATTTGAGGTCATACTCTGCAGGCCAGTTGTCAAGTCCAGAAGGAGAAAAAATAAAAACGACAGGTGCAAAGGAAGCGGTTCCAGCCCATTTTAAGATAAGATACCTTTATTAGTCCCACGAGTGAGAAATTTCATGTTAAGGCTGCCGACCTATTGCACGCGGTGCCATCTTACCCTCCGACCATACATACGTTACACAAAAACATCACAAGGGGAAGACAGGTCAGAGAGGTACAACAATGGAAAATGCACCACATGAGGAAAGATAAGGAGAAAAAAATAACTCCCCCAGACTGAGCTCCAACAGGGAGATCAGTTTGAGAACAGAGAAAAACACCTCTGCACATGAAAAAACTCTTAATACACCAAAGAAGCACATGACAAGCAACAGGGGGGGTAAAGGGTGAGAGACAGCCAATGTAGACAGGACATCCGGGCCTGCAGCCTGTGCGCTGGTCTCCTTGATCCACCGTCAGCATCGGAAAATCAAAACTTGCACCGTAACCTGCACATGACCAGGTTATGTGGTAAATATAATGCTTTATTTGTCTACACCCTGTGGGCACTTTTTCGTAGAACTGCAATAAACTTTGACCCAACTGTAGAACCTCTGGAGAAAAGCAAAAACTGAAGCTGTAGACTATTGCTACTTCAGTCAAAACCAAACGAACATTGGACATGCAACTTCAAATTTGCAGAAAAATAGTTCCTCGAAATACATTTTCACTAAACTCAAAAGCATAGACAAAATATGTTAAGGCTGTCCAATTTTCTGAGAAGCATACCGAGTTGCCCAAATGGTGACCTTCTCGCCCTGCCGGATTCAGAAAATTTGGTACTTTCCAGTTCTCTCCCTATTTCTCATCCCTATTTGGGATCTCTGACAAGTGTCTGAAGGTTGAGAAGACCTTGAGGTGTGCAAAAAATTAAGTTAAATACTGCAAATGTATAACTAAGATTATGAATTATAGAATTGTGCATCATAGTTAGATGATCAATGTGTAAAATAATAATGGCACAGTGGTTAGCACTGTGCCGCACAGCAAGAAGGTCCTGAGTTCAATTCTACCATTAGGTCTTTCTGTGTGGAGTTTGCATGTTCTCCCCGTGTTTGCGTGGGTTACCTCCGGGTACTCCAGCTTCCTCCCACCGTCCAAAGACATGCAGCTTGTGGGGATAGGTTAATTGG